ATAACCCACATAGCAATAAAAATAATTAATTAGTTGACAAAATAAACACAATGGTATTTTTTTGGTTTCTGAAACGAAATGAGATTTAAATTTTTAATAGCCGAAAAGCAAAAAGAGAAAGAAAATTGGTAATTTTAACAATTCGTGTTATCACCTCTAACCCTTATGCAAGCTTTTATTCGCCTTGGCATGTTTTTATTAAATTGTCAACGTTGTCATGGGGTATGTTTTCCCATTCTACTAATGCTGCATCAATAAGCTGTGCAACATTTCCTGCATTGTTTGGACGAGCTCTAATCCTTCTTTTGAGCTGGTCTCACAAGTGTTCGATAAAATTTTGGTCTGGTGAACATTCAGGGCAGTCTAAAACTGTGTCACCTTCTGTTTCAAGATATTCTTTAGCCACTCTGCTGGTACGGGGAGGTGCATTATCATGCATAAAGATAAAATTATCCCCAATTGCAACTCTCCAACGCCTTACGATTAGTTCTAGCACTAAATCAACATATCTCGAACAGGTTAAAATTTGTTGAAGTGGTAACAATGGAGTTTTTGCTTCCAGCATAAAACTTGTCCAAAATATTACAGTTCCTCTTTAATATCTTAGGACATACCTGGAAGCGTGCATTCTCGCTCATCTTCCTGGAGCACTGAGAACCCGAATTCGATGGTCAATTTTGGTCTCATCATAACATTTTGCCAATTCTCAATTGTCCAGTTTTGGTGTTGGAGGCACCAATTTAAATACATTTTTCGATTTTTGGTTGAAATAAACATTATATTTTTTGAATAAAAATACGGCTACAGACTCGTTTTTTTCACATTTTGCTTTGTTGATATATTAAAAATGCTTTTTTCTACGAACTCTTACAAAAAGACATCTTTCGCCACAGGATACTTTCAGCGAAAACTTGATTTCCGTAACTAGTGAGAAAAAATCCCATAACGTTTACTTTCGTCTCTAGTGACGAAAGTAAGTTGTTACATATTTTCATATATCAGTCGCCTCGTATAATATTTTGGCAGCTTATAATTATTAATAATTAAATAAAAAGATGCTCATTAAATTCTATATGCGTTTTTACCTAAACTTTAATGAATTAAAGATAAAATAAAAATGTATAATAATAGTGCAAATTAAACCAATCTACATCTAGTTTCCTGGTTTTCATTTGTTTATTTGAAGTTTTATCACTTTTGAGAACTGTCAGTTTCAGTTCGTCCTAAATTTAACACATTTTCATGATGTCTGAGTCAGAAAGCGATTGTACTCCCCCAGAAATTATTTTTAAAGCTGAAGAAACCTCTTCAGATTTATTACCGGCCAAATCAAAAAAGAGATATGAAGAAATTTATATCAAATTTTTGGACTGGAGAGAAAAAAATAAAGTGAAATCATTTTTGAAAACTGTACTACTAGCATACTTTGGAGAAATATGTTCAAATTTTAAACCGTCAACGTTATGGTCCATTTATTCGATGCTAAGAACTACACTCTCTGTTAAAAATGATGTCGATATTAGTAAATATCCAAAGTTACGTTCGCTTTTGAAAAGAAAATTTGATGGTTTTAAAAGCCAAAAATCCAAAAATTTTTCGCCTGAAGACATAAAGACGTTCCTAAAGAATGCACCTGACTATAAATATTTAATAACAAAGATAACGGAATTATTATTTTTATTTTAACAAATACTTAATACATAACTACTAATATTTGTAGGTAGCATTAGTTGGATTATCTGGAGCTTGTCGTTGCCACGAACTAAAAGATTTAACAATAAGCGATGTAAAGGATACTGGAAGTATTCTGTTAGTTAAAATCCGTAATACAAAAACAAAAGTTCCGCGTTCTTTTCATATTTCTGGACCCTTTTATGATATTTTTAAAAAATATATGAGCCTACGTTCCGCAAACATGGATCAAATTAATTCAAGATTCTTTATTAACTATCAGAATGGAAAGTGTAGCAGACAGGTTGTTGGAATTAATAAAATCAGTAAATTTCCTAACGAAATTGCTCAGTTTTTAACGCTTCCGAATCCTCAAGATTACACTGGGCACTGTTTCCGCAGAACATCCGCAACGCTATTAGTGGATGCAGGAGGTGACTTGCTTCTGTTAAAAAAGCACGTTGGTTGGAAATCTAGTAGTGTTGCGGAAGGATATGTTGATGAATCCACGAACAGTAAAAACCAAATACAAACCAAAATTTTACAATCTGTACAAAATAAGGAAACTACTAGTTCATCCGATTATGGCGCATCATCATCTGAAATGACATTTAACAGTAGAACAAATATGTCGGCATCTACCTCAATAAATAAAAAGCTTGAGTGTGATACCCCCATAATTTTGAACAATTGTTCAAATATAACAATAAATCAATATTTAAATAATAAATAATATTTCTGAAATATTTAATTGTTGGTTAATTTTTTGTTATTCCTAACACAAAATAAAGCATTTGCTAACGTTTGTTTTTTTTTTTTTTTCATTTTAGTAGGTACCTACATGACATAATAGAGTTCGTAGAAAAAGTATAGTGTTGTACTCGTCGAAAATCATTTTCGTCACTCGTGAAACAATATACTATTTTTGATATATCAAAATTTGGACTCCGTAGCCCCATTATGCACGACTCCATAAATATGCATGCCAAATTTCATAAAAAAATATTAAAAAATAGGCCTGGAATCTTGGAATTACTTTTAAGTCAATTTTAGCACATGGATAACTCTCTTAATGCAATGAGTTTGTTTTCGCGGTGCAGAAAATTTTACTAATAAAACTTGAAGTTCAAAATTTCAGTTCAATAGAATAGAGATAGATTAATTTTATGAATTAATACTAAGCGATCTTATCATTTTCATCTAATTAATCGGCATTTATGATAAGAAGAAATTCTTAAAAAATTAAAAATAAAGATTTACTCGAAACGTTATTTTATCTAGTTATCAAGAAATAAATTTATTATTATTTAACATTTTGTGAATTCAATATTTTGTTTATATAATGTTAAATAATTGGCATATTTATGACTAATAAAACGATAACGTAAAAATTACATTTTTCTTGTGATATACCCTGATTTAAAGTGGATTCAAAATAAATTCCAATGCACGTCATCGATAACGTCATTGACAGGCATTGGTACCACACACAAACACACCATTTAAAATAATGAAATTATATTTTACAATAATTAAATAAATAAATAAATTCGGATGCCTATTTACTTTTTTAAAGATTGCGTATTAAAACTTAATTTTTTTAGATTATCACAGTACTGAATCTACCCGTAGGTAGGTTTTTATCAGAACAATTTTCGTAAATTTCATTTCGGAAGTTAATCTGTTAATCTAGGCACGTTGTTTTCAAGCTGTGTTGCCAACAAATTATTTGTATTTGAGATTAAAATTATTAGAAAAAGGTTTCAAATAAACCAAAAAGATGACACGAGATGGGATATTATAAAACTTTTTGATGTTACCGTTAAACGAGCAGACTTTTTAGGAAAATATATCAAACAAAATGGAGTCAGTTTGTATCAGTTTTTTTTTTACAATACTTGGATTCTACAGAATGTTACGAATAAACTCATATTACGTGTATTTTTCTTTGAATATTTTTATGGATTACCTTATTATAAATGAAAATGTATAATTACCTTACCTTTACATTAAAAGTTCTGAATACTCTGTTACAATTAAAATCCTCACCTTATGTATGGTAAATTTATTGATTTAATAACTTTTATAAATTTATTAGTGTTAAAAATCTCTCATTTACCAATTTGTAAAACTGCTCAAATTTTAACCTCAAAATTGGAATCGAAAATTTGTTTAAAATAAATCTTGATTTATTTATCTTGTTTTTAGTTTATTTTATTTTATGTAACATATTTATATGTAATAAATATTGTAATATTCTTGGAAAAAATAGTGTTTTTAAGTTTTTTGCGTACATTCAACTGAACTTCATACCCTTATTCCAAATCCATTCGGTTTTAAAGTTTAAACCATTAAAAATTTTAAACCATTAAAAAGTTTATTGCACACATATAGGTTAGTATTTTATTATTTTTTATAATTAGTTATGATTTTATCTTTAATAAGATACGCCACTGGTATCGGCAGACTTTTAGTTGCGTATAATAGCAGCGTTGCCAGACGATATTTTCGATTAGAGTCTGTCTTCTTTCGATCTGCATAAAATTTTTTTTCTTTTCCGATGATTGGGACCAAACAAAACATACTTTATGAATGAAATGCATCATCTGTTGTTTTTTTTTTTTTTTTTTTTTTTAATTTGCTGTCATCGGCGTCGACTACTACGGCCATTAGCCTCGTGTTCTGTGTAGGCTTTGTTACTGTTTCCCAGCGCCACTTTAGGAACAGCACTGTTAATTAGAACCCAACAGTGAATGGTCGAGTGGGGAATCCTACCAAGGCATCAGAATTAATTTTAAATAATTAAATTAAATGAAAAAATCCCGGCCAACGGTGGGATTCGAACCTGAGACCTTCCGATCTCAAAGTCATGACTCTAACCACAGAGCCAACCCACCCCCCAATCTTTTATATAAGGTTTCATCTTAAAATACCAAGATGTAGGCTACCAGTTTAATATTTTGGAAAAATGTGTTGCCTAAAATAGTAGTAATTGCATCAAAATAACCGCGCCCTATGTTGGGCATGTCGGACGTCTCTTTTGCACCGTATAGTAATTAAAGTATGTGACTATAGGGCTATTGTTTGTTAACAATATTTTTAGCGTTATGTTTTCATTACTTCTCACTATTTTTTTTTTACAAATACGAGTATAATATTATATTTGTATTTCTTAAAATAGAAAACTTGATGTATCTACTAAAATAAAAAATTAAAATAGAAATAAAAGTCTTTCGAAGAATAAGATTTCATAGAATAAGATTTCAAAGATACATTTGAGATTAGATATTTTATTATAGATGTTTCTTATATTTTATCAGTTTGTCAAGTGGGTTACTTAAAAAGTATTTAAGTAAAAACAACTATTCCATATTTCGTAGTTCATTTTGTTGTCCTTCTAAGGTAAGACTACTATTATCGTTATAGTATTAAGCTAGGTCGTTATTTATTTACTCATAAATTATTAAAGTTTTCTTATTTTTGTTCGTAGACAAATATTTTAATATTTATTGTTATTTTAAAATTAGCCAGTTTTAAAATGGTAAAACAAAAGTCAATCATTATTTTAAACTAGACTAGTCTTTTTCGAACAAATACTTTTTTTTAGAGGTAAACAATTTTAAGTTATAATAGTTTTCTTTTTTTATTTACAGAAAAGAAAATGAGAGTTTTCATTGCTTTCGCAGCAGCGCTTTTGGCAGTTTGTGCCCTTCCAGCACAAGAACAGTGGACCTCGTTCAAGGTAATTATTCGTTATAGATATTTTCGTTGTAATTTAAAAAACTGTCGAAAATTAATGAAAATTTACAAAAATTACAATTCTAAAGGATTTCAACAATTATCGGATATACAAATGAATATTATTTTTTATATAAAATATTTAAATATAGAAATATATAAAAGAAAATACAATAAATTTTAAGAATGAAAAAAAAATAGTTTTTAAATTTTTTGAAAACTAGTTTTTTAAAAATGTTAAAGATATTTACTGACAATAAGATCAAATATTAAAAACAGGTATTAACAATATGCAGCAATTTTCGCTAAAATATTAATGCATCTTTTAAAATCTCATCGGTGGTTCCAGTTTGTACAAGTATGAAGCATTTACCCGTATTTTAATGACCCTCTTTCAAGCTCTTCAATTTTTCTTCGTGTTATTTACGATTTACGATTATTACGAAATTAAAAATATCCACGTTTTATTCCAAACAACAAACTTAAGGAGTTTGGTCTTAAAACCGTTTTCATATATGGCTTTAAAAACAGATTTTTTTCAGAATCAATAGACTTCATCCCAATATTTCCAAAAATTTCAAGTTGATATAATTGTTCGTTTGTGAATTTTTTTAACTATTTTAACCTCCCTTAACCCCCCACTTTTATTCAAATTTTTTTCACAATCAAAAAGTCTCATCTCCTTATAGAGCTTGATTTTTACTAAACATTTTATGTAGATTTCGCTTTTCATTTTTGATTTATGATTTTTTGTTTAATTTCAACCCCCTCTTAAACTCCCATTTTTATTCACATTTTTTTTTTTCAAAATCAAAGAACTTCTTCTTCTTATAGAGCTTGATGTTTGCTAAGTAACATACCCCTACACCATATTATTATGATTAATGATATCTTTTAGATTTAAAATTGATATTTCACTATTTGAAAAGAAACATCAAATTAATAGATATATTTTTAAAATGTGTGCATGCTACACTAATGAGTAACTAACGCGACCGTGATGGAAACAAAACGAAAACACATATGCCTCGGTATAGTTTTGGTAAATTGTTTATTGTATAGTAATATTCCCATGCCTGAACAAATTATTTTTTATTTAAGGCCAAACACGGTAAATCCTACGGAAATATCGTCGAAGAAAAGGTCCGTTTTCAAATTTTCCAAGACAACGTACAAAAAATCAACGCACACAACGCCCTCTTTGAAGCTGGACTCAAAACCTATACCATGGCGGTCAACCAATTCACCGATTTGACCCCCAAAGAATTTCGAGACAGGCTCAGGCGCCAAAATGGCCCAATTACCAAGGAGACCTTAATTCGTCATGTCCAAAATGGTACTGCTCCAGACTCCATCGATTGGAGGGAAAAGACACTCGTTTCGAGAGTTCAGGACCAAGGAGAATGTGGTTGCTGTTGGGCTTTCAGTACAGTAAGTTTATCTACTATTAAACTTTTAGTATAAACATCCAGTAGTTCTGTTTTATTAGGCCACATAATCACCAAAAGAGCAAATACGAACAAGCAAGACGTACGAGTATTTTGTGTCCATAATCGAGATACTCACTCCACGATTATGAGTGAATAATGCTAGCTTACTCTTGTATGTTCGTGTTTTTGCTCTTTTGATGAATGCACGGCTTTAGAGGCTTTAGTTTAAGGTTCTTAAAAAGTAGATGAACTCTCTTGAAGGTTTTGTAGTTGACAGCTTCGTTCTTTCATTATAAAATACCTACCTTTTATTAACCTCCAATAATTCAGCAATCTATCTGAAAAAAAAAAAAAAAACAAACGTCTTCTGGGTCTATAGAAAATGTCTTTTTGAGTTTATTTCATTGAAAAATATAAATTGAATGATGAATGATGAATCTAGTTATTAAAACAGATTATCTTTATAGCCCACAAACATTTTGCCAATATATTTGGATGAGCTGATAATCGTTTAATATATTTCTTATTATATACACTTACAACTTATTTAACTGAGGAGATGGATATTTTTTGTTGAATAATAAAATTTGGTAAGAATAATTCTTAGCACATTGTATTGGACCCTATTAAAAATATCGATGTTGCTATTATGTGCTATCCTCCATAATCGTACCTCACCAGGTCCATAATGATTTCATAATGGCTTTTTAAAATTTGAGAGATGCTAAAATGGTGGTTCTCACTTTATCGAGACTGAAGGTAAACACGTAGTGTAAAAAAAAAAACGAGAAATAATTTAACTTGGAACGAAAGACCGAAAACCGATAGTAGTATTAAGACGTTGAATTTTCTAGTGTATGAAGCATTGGCATTACTTAGGTTAAATCTTGTGATGATTTTCCAAGCCTTGATTTTTAAAACCATTCTATAAATAATTATTTAACAAAGAAACTGAAAAGAATATAGAAAGTATTAAAGAGGAATATTATAAAAAAATTAATAGAAAATAAACAAAAATCAAGTAAAAAAACTTTGGAACACAGTAAATGAAATATTAGGTATTAAAACAAAAAAACAAATAACATTAAAAACGAAGGAAATGAACTTGTTAGAGATCTTAATGAAATTGCAAATATATTTAATAACTTCTTTGCCAATGTAGGACAAAATTTAGCAAAACATATAAATAAAAATCCAAACTATAAAAATAAAAAAATCTACTAATAGTGACTCAATTTTTCTTAACCACACAAATATAACTGATTACAAAACACCATATATAATTTAAAAAATAATATAACCTGGGGAAGATATAATAAAAGCTGAAACGTTAAAGATTATTGCACATTCTATAAGCAAACTTTTGACAGACATCATTAATAAATCACTTAAAACAGACCTCTTTCCCTTAATTCTAAAAAACTCATTAATAATAACCCCAATATTTAAAAGTGAAAATACCGAAAATGTCACGAAGTAAAGGCCTATTTCGTTATTGCCTTCAGTTATAGTCTATTTTTATGTATGACAGAGTATTAAAATAATAAAGCGTTCGTAATCCATAGGTGTACCACTTCTTTTAGTAGACAGTTAAAATATTTTTTGAAGTTATTCCTCGAGTATACACTCATATTTCCACCTAATTAACCTGCTTATAACTTCTAAACAGCTGAAGGTAAAAAAGTGCAATTTTTTTTCTAAAATGTTTTCAAACGGGTTATGTAGGTATAAGGGTTTAAACTTTGACTTTTAAACAACGTTACGTTCATAAATAATAATTTTAATATAAAAACTTCTTACTTACAAATCCAAATCAGAATCGAAATCAGAAGATGAACTGTCGCAACCAATATTTACAATGAGTGGCTCGATCATTTCATCAGTAATATTGTCCAACTTCCACATTTTCTCTTCTTCTTTAATCGTATAATTTACTGCATTTTCCCAGTTTTCAGGCTTCACATTATTTACAGCCTCCAAAAACAACTGTTTAACATCACTCATTTTAAAAGAATTATTTTTTCTTGAAACTTCTCCCTTTATCTGTGCCCATATCAGTTCAATCGGGTTTACTTCGCAATGATATGGTGGTGATCTAACCACCGTCATCCCACGATTTTTTGCAATTTCATCAATTTCATATTTTTTGAATTTCTCTTTATGAAGGGAACACAAATGATACAGTTCTTTTCTCACAGAACCGGGATGGAACTTAATATTCTTTGAATTTAGCCAATTCTGTAAATCTTTTTTTAACCACTTGGTTGTGGACATTTTTTCTATAAGTCTCGAGTGATAACTTGCATTGTCCATTACTATTATACAGTTCTGAGGAAGATCTATAATTTGTTCGAACCACTCTTCAAAGACATCAGCATTCATGTCCTCATGGTAGTCACCGGTACGAGTAGATTCAAAAGTCAATAAACCACCTTTAACAAAACCGTTTGAACTACCGATGTGTACTATTATTAGTATGCGCCCCTTTCCTGATGGTGGATTTAAACCAGTAGATAAATTATTTAAAAGAGCCTGTCTTCGACTTGTAACATTTTCATCTTGCCAAAATTTATTTGGTTTATGTCCCTCGTTGATCCATGTTTCATCTAAATAAAATATATTTCTTCTTTGGTTTCTCATTTCTTTTATAGTCTTTAGGTAATTTCTTCTCCATACTACAATATCGCTTCTTTCTATTAAAATAGACTTTCTGGAATGCTTTTTCCATAGAAAACCTATTTCTTTTAAAAGTTTCCATAGTGTGCTTGGACTCATTTCAGGGTAATCCTTATCATCTCGAACCGTGGCAAGACCTTTGTCTACTGTTGGAAATTCTTTTCTAAAGAAGAACGCATGCACTTTCCTTCGAAGTCTTTCTTTCAAAAGATTTTCTAATTGAAATTTTGGTTTTCCTGGAGCTTTACGTGCTGTTTGAAACTCGCCACATTTATCTTCTTTAACAACTCTGTACATCGTAGATTTCCCAACACCAAGCGTACTACTAACTAATTCCACTGTGTCATCAACACTTTTACATAAATGTTTGTCTGTAAATAATTTAAAACAATTAAATATTAATGTTTTTTCATTAACTGTTAAAGGACCGATTTTTGTCGTTTACGCGGCCCTTCCAAATTTTCCATGATCACACTAGCATTCACACTGCACCTTGCAAGTTGCAACTAAACAACATTTAGTAAACTGTCAAGAATACACAACTTGGACCTCCTTACTAAATGGAAAACCTATAATCGCATTTTCGGTGAAATTTGTTAGGAAGGTATTTATCTACTTATAATTCGATTACTGTAAGAAATTCTTGGAATTAAAATAAAACAAAATTGGCAAATAGGTACTTATTGAAAATAATCTTAAGATACGGCTATGTAATCTTTAATACACAGGGCTTTTGGCTTGTCCAAACTTTTTTATATTGTTCTGTACAGCTTATGTTTATAAAGGACCAATAAAAGACCCAAAACTTTTAATAGCTCAGGTACATTTATTACAATTTTAGGAAATATTTAGATTATTCTGTAAAAATATTTAAAATGACCGTAAGTTTTACATTAGAAATGCTGTTTTATTACTCTCTCATACATAAAAATAGACATATAGCAAAGTTTTTGAAAAAAAATTAAAAACAAGACTAAATGCCTTTCTATCCAAATATGTCAACATCGCAGTATGGGTTTAGATATAACAAATCTATAACAAAAACCATCTGTGAATCTTTAAACTCAGGCATTCCTTCTGTAGCAGTTTTTTTGGATTTAAAGAAAGCCTTTGACACTGTGGATCACTCCATACTTCTAGATACACTGGAAAATATGGGTGTCCGAGGTACAGCGCACAAGTTGTTTAAAAGTTATTTAACAAACAAAAAAAAAAAGTAAAATTTAAAAATATAATTAGTGAAGAGGTAGAAATCACGTGTGGCGTACCTCAAGGAACGGTATTGGGGCCGTTGTTATTCGAATAATTTATTCCTACAGGATACTATATTATAGTAACAACTGGTACAATTTTAAACTAAGCATTGAAAAGGATCTTAATAAACTTAAAGACTGGTTTGATAGTAAATTACTTTCAATCAATTTTTAAAAAAACTCTATACATACGTTTTAGTAGCTTTGCCAGAATACATTCTTAAAATCTAACAAAACTTATCAATAAAACCTGCGAAAAATATTAAATACTTAGGGATATATATATAGACAATTAATTATCTTAGATGGGACTATCATATAAATTATTTAACAAAAAACTACGTAGTATTTTATTTAAATTCAAACAAGTTGTATTGAATCACATCTTCAATATGTTTGGCGAGGAGTATTAAGAACTTACCTTCTTTTACTTAAACTCTCTCAAAAACAATGAAAAATTGATTTTTTCTTAAAACCATATTTCAAAAATTAAGACGTTTAGGACATGAAGTTTTTTTTTTTCTTAAAATGGGCCCAAGAACCACCCCCTTAAATATTAGCATGTTGCATTTGTACTCTGTGGTTGGTTTTAGGTTGGTGTCACAGAAGGACAAAACGCTATCAAAAACAACCAAAGAGAGCCTCTTAGTGTACAACAATTAGTTGATTGTAATACCCAGATAATTGAAAATGTTACCATAACTGGTTGCAACGGTGGTACAGTCGAGGCCGGTTACAGATACGTCATTAAACACGGTCTTAACAGTGACGCTGAATACCCGTTCGAAGCTACAGATGACAATTGCAGAGCCAAGAACTACTCTCTCGTTAAAGTAAAGCAGGGCGTAGCTGTTGATCCTACCGAATCTGCCCTTAAAGAAGCTGTTGGTAAGTATGAACTAGAAACAATAGTCATTTTTGGTTTATTATAATAATCTTAAAATAGACTGGATATAAGGTATTTGATTATAATATTTGGATGATAATTTGGATAAATTTAAAAAAGTTTAGTTAAGGTAGGCGGTTTGAAATATAGAAGTTCAATGGAAAAAAATATATCAAGTTTATATAACGATCCATTCACAATAGGATTTTAGTGGCATGCGACGCTACACAGGTCTCAGTGACTAATTTCAGCGTGAGTGGCCTTGTATCATCTGTCACATGCATTGCTAAGACGCACCTGAGACGGTATCATCGAAAACGGCTTTGGTGGTAGACCGAGACAAACACCGAGTCAAGTCCAACAGGAATCACTTTAAGTGGAAAGGTATCGCCGCATGTTGTGACCAATTTCCAATGATTTGGCCATTTCCAAAAAAAAAATAGTCAAAAAAAGACACCACAATAATCGCTAATACCTGTACCTGAAGACCGGTTTTTGTGAGACCTGTGTAGGGTCGTATACAGCGAGAAAAATCTTATCGTGAATAGGTCATTTTAGAGAGGAATGTCATGCGGACTTTTTAGTTATTGATTGTTAATATGTTGCGTGATTTCATTATGTATCTTTCAGGTACCATTGGACCAATCTCCGTAGGTATGAATGCTGACGCCCTTCAATCATACCACAGTGGTATCTTGGAAGATGACACCTGTGGAAACGATGAAGATGACTTGGACCACGCTGCTCTGGCTGTAGGCTATGGAACCGAGAACGGAAAGAAATTCTGGCTCATCAAGAACTCATTTGGCGTTAACTGGGGTGAAGATGGTTTCTTCAGATTGGCCAGAGATGCTAACAACCAATGTGGTATTGCCCTCTGGTCATCTTATCCAATTTTGGCTTAAGTTATAAACTGAATTTAGGCTATTTTGTAAAGTAGAAAACCTGTTGATAAATAAATAATTTAAATTTAATTTTTGCTTCTCTTATTTTATACAACTCTACCTTAATGACTAGTTCTTTAAGGGTGGCGATCAGTAAAACTAGAGTACCTGCCTATACTTAAAAAACATCAAGTTTTTACCATGTTGCTAGGTGACGCGGTTGGGTTAAAAAATCTATAATCTAATTTGCTTTATAATATCAGTATAGAAAACTATTGTGATTAATCTAACTTTTGTATCCCACTTATAGCACAGCAAATGGTTGAGTAATGGGATTCATATTTTTTCAGGTTCACAGGTTAGGAAAATTAGACAATTTTTTTTAATGAATTAATATAAATAAATAATAAAAATAGTGCTGTGTTTCGCTATTTAGTGCTAATGTGTCCAAAGCTATTTATTCCAGCCGCTATTTAATTTTCATATTTTTGTCACCACCCTTTTCTTCTTCCGTTATTTTGTACCAGAGTTATTTTTTCTTACGTTATTCTGATATTGCGTTATTTTGTCCTACGTCATTTCATCCAGCGCTATTTAGTGGCGATGCCATTTTTGTTATTTTAAATTTTTTTTGTAAATAGATAAAATTAATACTATAACTACAACTACTTACACTGGTATTGCTATTAAGAGAATGGCTGCAACTTACCTACAAAAGAAAAGTTAAATTTAGTATTGTTTTTATACAGGGTGAGTCATGAGGAACATTACAGACTTCTACCATATGTAGAGTCCCTTGTATGAGCATTAAAAATTGACAATTCCCTTCGTTATTAATTTTGAATTTTGATAAAAATTTATATGGCCGTAAAATCTACAAGAGTTACAGATTCCTTGAATTTTTTGGTGAAACTGTCCACTGTTATCTAGCATTTAATTCATATCCTCAAAAGTTATAAATGCCAAGATAGGCTTGGGAAAAATTAATATCGACGATTCATATCAAAAAGTTCGCCCTGTATACGATCTTTTAAAATTATAAAAAGAGATTTTTAAATAACATACATTGTAACAGTTGGAACCGTTATTTCGGACACAATCACCTCTTACTCAAATGTCATTTGTCGCCTATGCTTTGTGTCAGAGGAAGTGACATTTTTATTTTATCTGACAGACAGCGATGAGTGGATGGCTTCTATTTTGATTTTATTTCGTCATCCGAAATAATAATTATGTTAATGACCGTCTGATTTTATAAGGTACGTTTTGTTAATATGTATTTTGTTTAATGATTTCTCGAGCAAATTATCAAATTGATTTTGCTTACTAAGAACAGATGGTGACACCATTTCACTTGAATTCTTATTTTCTTCGTAACCAACTTTATTGTATACTGATGAAATGTGTAGCATTTGTTAATTACATTAGAAAGTGGAATTGAGAACCTATCTATTTCTTGCTGAAGAGTCCTAATAAGGACGAAATCGGTCCAAGAATGATGTTCTCCTTAGTGAGCAAAATCAAAGGTAGAGTGTTGAAATTTAATTTCTATCTCTGCTGTCTTTCCTTCGGATATAATTCAATACCTGTTGCGGTATTAGCCAAAGGAGTAGTTGTTTTTTGAAGGTAAACGGTCGTTGGTATTTATGTGATATTGGTTTTGAGTTTTATTCATTTTATGATATATTTTTGTATAAACCTTGTTCCTTTCAAAGATATATCAAATCAAATCAAATCAAATCAAATATATTACGTAACAGATTACAAGTTTTTTTTTTATCCATGGAGGGGATCGTACCTAGGCATATATGCCTGTCTTGTGTGATCCCTTCCATAAAAAAATACAATAATAAATTGTTTTAAAAGTACAAAAAAAAAATTAAAAGGAAAAACGACTCAGTAATAGGAGTAATAGGAAACTAAAGCAAGACAGGTCCAAAAAGTGAGATAGGTTTAAAACTTTCTCCTGTAGTATAGTTAAACAGAAGTTAACGCTAAAAAATTGTAAAAAATACTTGAAAAGACACCAGAAATAATGTACGTTATTTGCAGTTTTATTTAAAATATTTCAAACATATCTATCAATTCCTTGATTTCAGTTTTAAATTTAGTTAATTTAGTTATTTGTTTCGTTGATAAAGGGAGAAGATTAAACAATTTGGGGCCAAAATAAAAGAGAGATCTTTGTGTTACCGTTTTTGAATTAGGTCTACATTCAAATTTAAATTTGTAGTTGGTCTGGTTTTTGATGAAACCTTGTGTAGTTTATCCTGATCTCTGTATACCCTTTGAAGACACTGATATGTATATAATTGTCTTAAAGTAAAAATGTTTAATTCTTGATATAGTAGTTGAGTTGAATATAGTCTATCCTTTTTAATTAATGTATTTAATGTAGTTTGCAGATTTTGTAACGTACTTTTAAAAGTACCACCCCATATCGTTATACAATACCTTAAAATTGATTCGGAAAACGAATTATAAATCATAAATAAATTGTTTTTTGAAAGAATATCTCTAATGTTATAAAATTTGGTAAACAAGACTCTTAAGCGTTTTGTAACGTAAGTAACGTGTTCGTTCCATCTTATGTGCTGGTCAATCATTACACCTAAATATTTTATTGCTACTGTTTTTTCCAAGATGGGACAGTTACATCTAGTATGATTGCATTTAGAGTCATGTAGTTTAACGTCTATTTTAGGTTGATCAGCTGTAGTAGGAGAAAAAGTAATATATTTTGTTTTTTCAATGTTAAGAGTCAATAAACTATAATCTAGATAAATTTTTATTTTTTTTAAGCAAGCTTCTGTATTTAATTTTACTTCATCCCAAGATGTCCCAGTCACTACAAGGGCAGTGTCATCAGCATAACATACAAGTTTTCCTTTAAAATTATTTATGTTGGAGATGCTATTTATGTAAATTAAAAATAGAATTGGACCCAATACTGTCCCCTGTGGTATTCCTATTTGTACTATTGAAGCGGCACTTAATGTATCCCCTATTTTTACTTTTTGGGTTCTATCTGTTAAATAATTTCTAAGTAAATCAAGTCCTGTACCTCTAATGTCATAGTTACTCATTCTAATTAAGAGATCAGAGTGTGGAACCGTATCGAAGGCTTTTGCCAGACCAAGGAAAACCGCTAGGCATTTACTTGATCTATCCAAGGCGCGGATTATCGGTTCAAGTAGATTTAATGTCGCATCTTCAGTACTGGATTTTTTTATGAATCCAAATTGTATTTTCGATAGAACTTTATTTTTGTCTAGGAATTTTATTAATCTGTTTTTGACAGCTTGTTCAAATATTTTTGCAAAATTATTTATAACAGATATTGGTCTATAGTTATTCATTTTGCTATTGTCAAATAATATATTTAGGGTTCATGTACTATAGGTAAAATAGTTAAATAATTATTCATTTATTAAAAAATATTAATCTCATATTAAATTATTATTTTCATTTTTCACATTCATTGTTTAGTTTATTTAAAGATATTATTTCTAAAGAGGAAGTGTAAATTCAAGTTTCTTAATTAATTGATACTTTTATGGAAATTCGTTGAAGTTGCAAAGACAGCAGTAAACGCAGTTCAACGAATTACCTGATCAAGCAAAAGTGCATGAACCCGAACTTTCTTTATAAAATGTTAAATATTATTAATCACTTGGTTTTGAAGAGCGACACAAGCACCATCCCTCTTAAAATGGTGTACCCCTGGTGAGTACCTAATTAATTTGTTATTTTTATCATTATTCAATGGAGATTGTCTTTTTCATTTTTTAACCAATCATTTACTTATTAAATAAATATTTTCAATTATTATTATTATTATGTTTTATTAAAGTAGTTCTACCATCTAGCTATAATTAACCCCTCAGCTCGTTTAGGGAAACATAAAAACCCTAAACGCGGCACTATGATCCCCAGATTTAAAAATAGGAGTAACTATAGTATGTTTCCATTGACAAGGTATTATTCCACTAGACAAAGAAAGGTTTATAATATGCGATAAGGGAGTCACTACATCTTTATGAATATATTTAATGAGTTTAGTTTCTATTTTATCAGGTCCTGCAGAACAGTTATTTTTTAAGTTAGAAATTAATATTATTATTTCTGGAACCGTTACTGGTTCTAAAAAATCTGATGTGTCCAACACATGACTTTCTTATCTAGTTTATTATAGGCTTTTTTCGGTTATTTTGTACAACCTATTGCAGCATCTCTATAAATGTTTAGAGGATAAACTAAATATATACATTGGCCACATACATCTACCTCGAAACATTTTTCTATAGATATTCATTGAAAACGAAAATACTGAAAAATTTAAATTTAGACTTTTCCATTACGGTCCATTTTAGAAAAATCATGTATAAACAAAAATTATAGAGATCGATATCGCAAACAACTTTTATTTCAAAAACTTTCATAAAAATCAGAATTTTGCACATTTTGTCAAATTTCTCGAATACGGACCATTTCAGGAAATTTTTACATAAAACAAAAATTGTAGATAATAATATTAGAAGTAACTTTTATTTGAACAATTTTTTTCTCCAAACATTAATAACAGATATATTCCATAAAATATAAAAGTGGCCTCCCATAAAGTACTCCCCCAGATGTTCCGACTATGTCCAAAATCTAATCATTTCACGTCAGGCCGAAATAAACCTTAAGTTTAAAATTTAATGTTTTTTTCTTTATCCGTTTTTTAGTTTTCTTCAAAATTCGAAATTTACACATTTTCTCAAATATCTCGAATACGGTCCATTTTAGAGAAATTATGTATAGAATAAAAATTATAGAGAATTATATTACAAACAACTTTTATTTGAACAATTTTTATAAAAAATTATTTTTTTCACATTTTGTCAAATTTCTCGAATACGGACCATTTTAGGAAAATTTTGCATTAAACAAAAAATATAGATAATTATATTAGAAGTAACTTTTATTTAAAGAATTTTCTTCTCCAAACGTAAATAACAGATATATTCCATAAAATATAAAAATGACCACCTATAAAGTACCCCCCCAGATGTTCCGACTCTGTCCAAAATCTAATCTGCTCATTGGACGCTGAAACAAAGCTTAAGTTTAAAATTTGGTGTTTTTCTGTTTATCGGTTCATGAGTTATGCGTTATACAGACACACACACACACACACACACACACACACACACACACAGACACACACACACACACACACACACACACACACACACACACACACACACACACACACACACACACACACACACACACACACACACACACACACACACACACACACACACACACACACACACACACACACACACACACACACACACACACACACACACACAGACACACACACACACACAGACACACACACACACACAGACATCATCGCGAAAATAGTCAAAACGGATTCAGGGGACCTCAAAACGTAAAAATCCGTCGAAAACTCGAGGTCGAAAAAAATCATGATTCCTATACTTTCCTTATATCTGTATACAGATAGGAAAGTAAAAAAGAGAATTTTTTATGGCATTATCAGCTAAGAAATTGTTTGATAATTTAATTTTTTTGATTTTATTTGCCATATTTTTACCCAAGTTTATAAAGAAATTATTAAATAAGGTTGCCTTTTCTTTATTATTTTTAACTAAACTTCCATTTTCATTTATATCAGTATTTGAAATGTTTGAACTGTTTTTGTATCCATTTATATCATTGATTATTTTCCACGTTTTTTTACAGTCACCGTGAGCATCATTTAATTTAGTTTGATAGTAATCATTTTTAGTTTTTTTTATTAATGTATTTAATTTATTTCTATATTCTTTATATTTGGTTTCCCGTTCCATAGAAAAGTTTTTTAACAATCTCTTTTTTAATTGATCCCTCTTATAGATAGAAGTAATTAAGGCTGAAGTTATCCATGGTTTAAGTTTCCTATTTTTTTTGTTTACAGTGAATGTTTCAGTGGTTTAGTCTATATAAAGATTCAGTTTACTGATAAATTTTTCATATGAAATTTGGGTATCTCTTGCCATAATTACATCTTCCCAATTTTCTTTATCTACTAGCTTTTTGAGTTTAATGAAATTAATTTTTTTGTATGTTCTTTTATTTTCAATAGCAGATATGTCGAGTTTTTTGTTTAAATATATATGGACAAAGGGTGTATAATGATCAATAAAAGCAGTATGAAAAACTATAGGTTCCGTTTCAATTTGATTACTTATTTTTTTGCTTATTCTTAGAAATATGTGATCAATACATGTGTTAGTAGTTCGAGTGACACGAGTTGCTTTATTTATATATGAAATAAATCCGTAAAAATGTAATAAATTTAAATATCTAGTTGTTTCATTTACTTCAGGTTCTAGAATATTAATATTGAAATCTCCTAAGTAGATTTCTAGACTTTGTTTTTGAAGGTTTTCAAAGTAATGTTCTAAATCATCTATGAATTTTTGAATACTTGTTGAAGGAGACCTATAATAAGCTGTAACCCCTACATCTATGTACTCGTTTAGATGTTTTTTATTAAAGGTTATACGTAAAAATTTAGTGAAATTTACTTCCATTATTTTTACAGATGTGGTTATATTATTTTTTATGTACACTATTGTGCCATCACTTTTATTTATAGATGTATTATTGCAATAAGGCGTATAATTTGGAATATGAAAGTTACTTACATCTGCTTGCCATGTTTCAGATAAAACTATAATGTCCAATATATCCGTACCTGTTTCTAAATATATCAAAAGTTCATCGAAATGTTTCCTCAGACTTCGAATATTAAAATGAATGACCCCAATCCCACTTTCCGACCTGTCTTTCTCTAGTTCCTTTATGTAATCCTGAAAATTTTCCATTTCTTTTGTTGTTATTTCATTATAATTATCTAAAATATCAAAAAACTCAAGCATTATATCAATAGTATTCCTAAAGAACTCCTACAATACACATAATAATATAAAATAATATAATTTAGGCTTTTATATAATTATTAAAGATAAAGAAAAAAAACACCAATTTATGTGGTGAAACAAAATTAAAATAAACTAGGTAAGTACATAAGAATGATATTATTTATATTTATATTTTATTTATTATTTCTTGAAGATTTGTTTTATTTTTGATAATTTGCACTTTCTTATTGTAGTAAATATAAATTTTCCCGTTTTCAGTCCAAACATTTTTGAGACCCACTTTAGTTGAGGCTTCATTAAAAAGGATCACTTTACTGTTTGTTAGGTCTTCTTTAATAACCACACCGGTTCCTTTTAGTATCTTCTTTTTGGAATAAATACTTTGCTTCATTTCTAAGGAGCGTAATTTTAAATAAATTCCCCTGTGTTTTTGATCAGTTTTAGTTCCAACTCTATAACATACTGAAATATCTTCTGATTTTAAGTTTACATCAAATTTGGTATTAAAAAGTTTAATAATTTCTGTCCTAGTATCTTCATGATCTTTTTCTTTTAAATTAAATATCCTTAAATTTGTTAAACGAGATGCTTGGTCAAGACGTTCTAGTCTAGTATGTGTTTCTTCTGATTTTATTTTCATTTCTTCCATTAAGTCTTCTAGTTTTTTAAACTTATATTCATTTTCAGCTTGGTTATCCCTAATTTCGCTTTGGATGGACGCCACTGACTTTTCTATATTTATGAATCGAGTTTCAATAGTTTTTACAACAGCCTTCGTGACGTTATCAGTAATTGTTTTTATGAGATCAACATTTTGTAGACTTTTACTTACAGCTTGATTTACGGAATTTTCTATGCCTTCTCTGGTTTCTCGAGTTAAGACCATGATTAGCAGAAAATTATATAAACTACTTGCACTAGGATACACTATTCACAATTTGGTATAGGTTTCAATTTTAGATTTGCCCAATTTTCATCGAAATTTGTCGATAATGTAGGAGCTCATGTACAACACGTCTATTCACAAGTAACCATAGACGTATGCTCTAAAAAAGACATTTGCCTGAAAAAAGGAAATTTTAAGCTCTTAAGTCACAAGGACATTTTTTCATCAACCTCTACGATTTATATAATTATAGGATAAAATAATAAGTTTTTTGCTCTCTTAAAAAATGCAATTTTTAGATATATGACCTTTTGCACTTTCAATGACTTTCATTTAAAAATGTAATATGTACAATGATATTTGATATTGTATTTTACAAGATAATATTCTTTATCTTTTAATATATTTTCGAGTGGTTGTTTTATAAGGAATTTAAGTGAAATAAAATATATTTCATAGCTTAGTTCATGTTTTTTGTTCTACTAAGGTAAGACTGCGAATAATATTAGCAACTATTTTCATGTCATGGAAAATTTTATTTGAATGAAATATCGTACAGCAAATTTCAATATTAGAAAGTGTCATGAACTTTCGTAAAAACAAAATAAATATGTCGATTTTCATGTTTGTTTTTTCAGAATAATTATTTTTGTAAAAAGTTTTACTATAAAAAATATATTTCATTTTGTTTAATGACTATTGACAGGGTGCAATGTATGTTAAAGAAAAAATAAAAAATAAATAAATTACCATGAAGCCAATTGGCGCGTCCCCCACCCACACAGTTTACAAGCTTTCCAGTTGGTTTTAAAACCAGCGCCAAACAAAAATACATACACAAATGTATATTTTAATACATAAAAAATTGTATTTCTAAAATCTTTAATTCTTTCAAAGTAATCGTTTCACTACATTAACATTCTTTGTATTTCAATCTATTTTTATTATTCATGCACGCGATGTTCCTTTATATATATTAATATGGTATCCTTAATTTCAAAGTTAACATTACGGAGTCTAACGTAGGAAATTCATATCTCCGATAGGCATCGTAAATAATAATTGTCCTAACCATTTTCACTAGTATAGAGAAGGATCTAGCTCTTTTTTTATGATCTGCGTCTTTTCGACTGAAAAACTATAGCGGACTCTCCGACAATGGGTCGAAGTAAAAAAATTTGATAAATATCTGTTAATATGTCCTTTTCTGCTTGGTCAAATACCTTATATCCAGTTTTAATAACACGTCTCTCGTTTAAAACATAATTTACAGCCTAATTGCAAAAACTAAGATTAAAATTTTAGAACGCGATAAATTTTGACACATGTTTAGAGTGTGAGTAATATGAAGTTCATATCGGTTAGTCAGATTACAATCTCAAGATCATCCTTGCAACCGGCTTATAGAGTGTTAAGGTTGAAAATGTGGAATGAGTTGAATAAGTTGGGATAAGTTGGGATAAGTTGGAAGGTCACGCCACATCGAAAGGTAACCGTCTTGCTGATTCACTAGCCAAGAAAGCAGCCAACCAAATTCTTTTTGGACCTGGTCCTTCTATTGGCCTGACAAAATCGGTAGTGACAGATCTAATTAAAGAACATTCCCTTGTGAAATTCAAGGAAAGATGGGATGAAACAAGAAACTGCAGAGTTGCCAGGGAGCTACTAAGTTATCCTGACAACACTGCAGCAAACAAATACTTGACTATGACATATTCTGCGCCTAGTCACAGGCATTCTGAATGGTCAATGCCAAGTACGGAAGCATCTCCATATCATGGGGCTGTCAGAATCCGCACTCTGCAGATGGTGCGAACAAGAAGATGAGACTATCGAGCATATCCTTTGCAATTGCTAGACGCTCTCATTTATTAGAAGATTTGTGTTCGGCGAGTATCGGCTAACACCGGCCGATATAAGAGAAGCACCTCTAGGCGATGTTGTCAACTACATAAAATCTGTAGGCTGGATCACGAGATAGGAGGTGCCTATCATCTTAGGAGGATGTACAATGAGCCTAATGAGGCCTAAGTGTCGTGGGGGTAACCCACCCTCCACACACGTTACAGATACAGAAGTTGGAATAAGTTGGAATAGTTGGAATAAGTTAAAAATTTGGAATAAGAAAATTCCAGATTTTACATTTGCAACATTGCCAGATTTACCGTTTTTCTGATATTATGTCACTTTGATTTCCTGTATGTTGTGCATTATTGGTTCTTCCCTTCAATGGGGGTTTAACCATATGTGACAATTGAGATTTCATGTAGTAAGAAATGTTATTGAATTAACTAGTAAGATATTGATATATCAACTTTTCTAAAAGTTGTAACTCAAAATAATAAATTATTAATACTGTACTGGTCTTTTTCGTAAACACTAATGGTTTTTTTTTTTCAGAAAAAAAAAATGAAAGTTTTGACTGTTTTCGCAACAGCCCTTTTGGCAGTCAGTGCCCTTCCAGCCCAAGAAGAGTGGACCTTGTTCAAGGTAATTTATTATATCCATGGTATCTAGGTTATATTTTTGACTACTGCCAAATATTTATGAACATTTTCAAAATTGTGATCCTAATTTTAAAATAAACTATTAAAAACGAAAAAGTAATTACATTATTTAATCTTAAATACAAGAGAAAGTAATTTATATTTTTATAGAACCCCAATATACATAAAAACAATAAGAGCAAATTATTTCAGTATACAAAATTCACACTTTTAAAAGTGGCTCCAGTTTCATTTTTACAAAACAATTTAAAAAATTCCAAAGAAGGTATCAACAAGACAAAAAAATAAAAATTATTTTTTTAATATCATTTTAAAACTGAAAAAAGTTCAGAAACAATCAACAATTCCAAAAAAAAATACTTTTTAAACTAAGAAAGTAGTAGATTTCTTAAAATGTAAATATTTTCAAAATCTTTAAGATATTCCCAAAATCACATTAAAAAAATAAAAAACCGAAAAATTTTCAAAAAGCTCAAAAACATTTAAAACTTAAATTAACAATATGCAGTAGTTTTCGCAAAAGTAATTCCTCATCTTCTACAAACCCACTGTTATTTCCAGTAATAACAAATTTGTTGATTTAATTCATTCCAAAATATCCACATTCCAACCAAAAAAAACTTATATGGGTTTGGGTAATTTCTATTACTTTTAAAAATATTGTCGTTTGAAAACAGTTGCTTATTAATACCATCAATTTTGTATGAAAATTCAGTCTTTTATGAAACACCATAAACTTAGATCAAAAAAGTGGGTGACGGAAAATTCCTCGAAAGTAAATTGCTCGAAATCAATTGCTCGAAAAATAGTTCCTCGAATGGACAATTCCTCGAATGCCTAGTTACTCGAATAACAATATCTCGAAAAGACAATTCCTCGAAATAAGAAAATAAGTTATATGAAGAAAATTTATTAAAATATTACAAATACAAAATTATTAAATGCACTATAAAATGTGTTTATACTTAGAATAAATTTAACTTTATTTACAAATATACAGGGTGTGTGTAAGTGCAAACATGAATATTTTTAAATCATAAACTAAAAATGCAATTTTCTTAAAAACAGTAAATTTTAGAGAGTACCTTGTACAGACATAATTTGAAGGGATAAAATAGTTTTATAAGATAAAAAATAATATACTAGGTGTACATGCAGAATTTTACGCTGAATTCGATGGTAAACAAATATACAGGGTGTCCTATTCAAAAAAAGCTTACTTCATGTTGTCTCGCTTAGGCTGAACACCCTATATATCTCAAATTATTTTAGAAATGTACCTGCGCAAATATAACAACTTTTATTTAAATATTTTTTTGTATATTTTATCCAAAGTAAGCTATGGGCCACCCTGTATGGGCCACCCTGTATGTACACTTAATAACCAATGTTGTGAGCAAGACTGCGAACATATCCTTCAATATTTACGTTGTACTCAAAATTTTGCACTATGTGTCCTATTCTTGCCGCACAATCGCGATATTTACGACTACCCATTGTTCTATTTTCAACTCGTTAAAGCTTTGTTGTCTTTTGATAGCATTTATAAATTTCCAAATGCTAGGGTGATTCGCCGAAAGTAATTCTTGGAAACCTCTGTGCCAACCTTCGACGCTGTTGTTAGTTTTTGGTTTACCTTCAAAAGTACCTTCGTAACAATTCCAAATATTTAAAGGAAAACGAGGTGGACGTCGATATCTTCGATTTGGGCGACCGATCCACGTGTCCTCAAAATAATCTATTACGGGTTGTGCTTCTTCAGGGAACACATTTCCGTCGCACAAAACTTCAAAATACTGAATAACATGTTCTTCAGGTACAAAGGCTAATGGAGGGAGCATTTTCATTTTCAGTGCAAGGTCGGCATCTATTTCATATCTGTTTTTTAAACCATTTGATTGAATATGGCGGAAAATTGCCTGACATAAATGGAAAAAACACCCCCTGTGTCTGGTTTCGGGATATACATCATGCACGACATTAATTACAGCACTTTCAAAATCGGTCATTATTGTTTCTGGATTTACATTAGGTATAAATTCTTTAATTTTGCGAAATAATTCTGAATAAGTTTCCTCAGTTTTATTTGGTAGAAGCGCGTAAATTAGCGGCACAGCAGTATTTCCTTGTAAATAATGTACGGTATACAATTGCCCAAAAAGAAGTATTTGTGTACATTTATTTTAGTAACTTATTTTCTTATTTCGAGGAATTGTCTTCTCGAGATATTGTTATTCGAGTAACTAGGCATTCGAGGAATTGTCCATTCGAGGAACAAATTTTTCGAGCAATTGATTTCGAGCAATTTTCTTTCTAGCAATTGTTTTCGATCAATTTACACCAAACCAAAAAAGTTTCAAAATTTCTAAATATTTCTGAAAAATTACACACAAAATAAGACTTCTCATCTTTCAGTTTCTGAACCTTTTCTAATCATGCCTACCTAATTATTCACCTCCCTTTTGTCTCCATCTACATCTACTTGATCTGTTTCCTTCTTTCCTTTTGTCCTTCTCCTGCTGCACTTTTTCTAAATTCTGTATGACTATCCGTTCCCTTGTTCCTTTTCCTGATTATTTCCAAAAATACTCCCTTTCTGATCTTTTTATCATCAGCCCCTTTTAAACTCTTTTAAATTGAACCTTATCTTTTGTTTTCTGTACTTTAGTTTTCACAATCTTTATTTTATCTTAACTTCAAACCATTAAATTATTATTGTACCTTGTCCTTTGATCTCTGTAATTTACCATGTACAATCTACATTTTATAAAGGCAATACGTACTCCAAATCGCTCTGTAAATTACCATTTATTTTTGTGTAGTTATACAAGTTTTAAATTAGCAAATTACAATGCAAGAAAGTTAATTTTATTTACAATAAGTTAGACTTCTTAAAATTGATTTTGTGCTGTGCTTTTTTTGTGAAATCCAGTTTTAATCGATCTCTGTTTTTCAACTGGTAAGATATAAATTCTTTATATTTGTCATGCCTAGCATTTGCGCGAATTGTTCCAAATCAGTGTCGGATCGCGACAGAAGCAACCTACAGTAACTGTAGTTCAGATTTCGATCAATTTGGCGACATAAAAACTCTCTTTGAGTCGTTTAAACTAAACTTGAAATCAAAAAATGAGTTACTAGACTCCAAGATTACCGCTGTTCAGGATAAATTAAATAAGGTTGATGAAGTAACATCAGTAATTTTTTTTTGATAAACTGGCAAATGAAGCAGTCGATCGTCTTAAAAGGGCCTAAAATATTATTATTCGCGGCATTTCCGAGATTAACGGAAATTTTGAGGAAAAAAAGCGACACGACTCCACAGAAATTAATAATGTACTGAAGGCAGTGAATTCTTCCGATCAACCTATTACTTTTTTCCGCGTTGGAAAAGCTGAACAAAATAGTCGCTATCCCCGATGGCTCAAAGTAATTATGCCCTCCGAACACACGGCCAAAAACGTTCTACGAAACAAAAAGAGAGTTTTAGAAACCCCTACCCAACAACGGATTCTTCAAAACTTAAGAGATGAATTAGAAGCTAAAAAACGGAATGGCGAAAATAACCTAACAATTAAATATCATACCGGTATTCCAAAAATTTTGAAGACAAATCCCTTTTAATCCCGCTAGCCGACAACCGCCACAATTTAACGATTGGACCCTTATGTATACTAACCTGGATTCTCTAACTGCTAAATTCAATAGTTTTTTGTGCTCAGTGCAACATTTTTCTCCCAGCATTATTCTAATTTCTGAAACTTGGCTCAAGTTATCTATTCTCGATTCACTTATTAACATTCCTGGATTTATAATTTACAGAAGCGACCGCGCAAATATTGTTGGTGGAGGGGTCTGCATCTACTTAGCGTCATCCATCACTTCAACTTACTCTGTCACCGCCTTAGATATTAGCCCAATCGGATTAGGTGAAGAACAGGCTTGAGATTCTGAAAAATTCGAAGCAGCAATTTTCCTTCGGAATTCGTTGGAGGGGGTCTGTGGTAGTCTAAATTCAAAAAGTTGGGATTCCAAAGTTGTCGTTACCTCCGCCAGCTTGATTTAAAGGGTTATTTTTTGTATCTTGAATAACTCATTTATTTTCAATTTTACACGGAAAATAGTTTTTACAAAAGTTATTTAAAATTAAATTTCCTACAATTCTGCTTTTTTTTTGTACGATCGATTTTTTTCGATTTATACCCGAAAAGAGGGGGTGAATTTTTGGTTATAGAATAACTCGTTTATTTTCAATTTTACGAGAAAAATTGTTATAAACAAAGTTGTTTAAAATTAAATTTCCTACAATTCTGTTTTTTTTGTACGATCGATTTTTTTGTATTTATCCCTGAGAAGAGTGGGGGTAAACTCTTAGAAAAAATCGGAATCATAATTGTACCAAATAACATTTTTGAAAATCAGCAAAAAAAAACAAACAGAAAAAATATTGGTACAACATCAATAATAAACGTGACAATACAATACTTAGGTTTACCCCCACTCTTCTCAGGGATAAATACAAAAAAATCGATCGTACAAAAAAAAAACAGAATTGTAGGAAATTTAATTTTAAACAACGTTGTTTATAACAATTTTTCTCGTAAAATTGAAAATAAACGAGTTATTCTATAACCAAAAATTCACCCCCTCTTTTCGGGTATAAATCGAAAAAAAAACGATCGTACAAAAAAAAAGCAGAATTGTAGGAAATTTAATTTTAAACAACTTTGTTTATAACAATTTTTCTCGTAAAATTGAAAATAAACGAGTTATTCTATAACCAAAAATTCACCCCCTCTTTTCGGTTATAAATCGAAAAAAAATCGATCGTACAAAAAAAAAAGCAGAATTGTAGGAAATTTAATTTCAAACAACTTTGTTTATAACAATTTTTCTCGTAAAATTGAAAATAAACGAGTTATTCTATAACCAAAAATTCACCCCCTCTTTTCGGTTATAAATCGAAAAAAAATCGATCGTACA